CCCCAGTGAAAGGAATAAATTGAAAGAGTTTAAGCTGTGGCCTATGCTTTCTACTGTTTCTGTGAAGTAATCACTCCACACACATATGGATAAGTGTTCTGTGCCAACACTGAGAACTTAACTGCCTGAATTACTTTTTAGCCTCATTTAACTTGTACATTTAGGTGACTACAAGTGCCTTTCTCCTTAGAACCATAAAATTTTAGAGTAAGAAAGGACTTTACAGATCATTTAGTTCAATCCCCTCGTTTTCCAGATGAAAACAACAGAAGCCCAGAGAGGGTTATTAGCCAACACAAGGACACATAGCAGGTTTAGTGCAGGTACAGAAGTAGAAACCCTGTCTCCTATTTTCCCACACCATGCCCTTTCTGAAAAACCAGACTATGTCCAAAAAGTCACCCAGTGATCTGAAACACTATTAATTTCTTTCTTCTCCAGATCTCCAGTGGGTCACGTAAGTGTTTGGATGACTTCTGGAAACAGGATACATTTATCAGAAAATTTTGCCAATATACATGAATCATTACCACCAGGAGACAATGAAATTTGGTAAAAATGACAAGACATAGTAGTTATCTACTTGTGGGAGGTTCTACCCTTTGTACTTCTACATCCTCTAGTAGGTGGTCTACTCCTGGGCTGCTTTCAAACTGACCCACGCTCCCATAGACCTGCTTCTCACCCAGTGAGTATTTTCTGCCAGAACTGGCTTTTTTCTGTGAAAAAAGCAAACTTCTACTGTGAACCATTATCCCAGGACAATGCATGGGAACATATGCATAATTAAATAAAGGCTTCTGAAAAATAAGATCTTAAAATCATATTTATACTATATCTCCTTTTCAAAATTGGATCTGCTTGATATAATTTTTGTTGGTATTTTTTTGTTACTATTTTATTGTTTTGGTTTCTGGTTGTTTGTCTCACAGCCACAGATGCAGTCCAGATATTATACATGGAAAATCATACTTTCTAGAATGAATCAGCTACAAGTGTCTGGTTCTATGGACAAATCATAGAATTATTTTGTATGAGATAACCATACATCTAGGGGCTTTCTGATAATTAGCAAGTTAGTTTTCCATGCCTCATAAAGAGAACTTCTAAATTAAATGAAAGTTCCTTGAGGATTCTTGAGAGCAAGGTAGGAGGACAAGGAAAGACTCTCAAATTAACTCACTAATTAGATCATGTTCCCATCTATTTTTCCACATTTCCTTAAAGGAAATGTGTCTCTTGTTAGTTTCCTATACCTTTAATCTCTGTCCTTGTAGTGAAAGGAGGGCATATTAGAGACCCCCTAACCATGCAACTGTACCCATTTGGGACCATCAGAGTGCTGGTGATGTCTAAGAGGTCTTTGAGCTTCCTTGACTCTCAGCCCTTCCATCCCTGGTAAGTGTCAATTCCTTGGAAACTCAGTGATTGTTGGACATGCAACCAACTCTCAAGAGAAACGAGAGCTCTAGTTCTAGAGGAGCGAACCTAGATTCAATGTATATAAATCTCATTTTAAAGTTCACTGTATCATTTTTAATCTCAACCTTACTGCTCCCTATACTACAATTTTTAAAAATCTATCTCAGTCTGTGACATATATGGAAGGAATTATCCATAGAGCCCTTTTCTCTAGTTAAGGTCAGGAGTGGTAAATCCAGTTGTGTCAAACATTCTAGTTGGACTAATTTTCAGTATGTTACAGGGACGTTTGCTTGTAGTTTAAGGAGGAAAGCTGTTGTGTTTTCTTCACATTGGTCCAGAAGAAAGTAGGTTGGCTATCAGTTCAGTTGTGAGAAAAGAATAGACTGTCAAATGACATACAAGATAATAGCTGTTCTCTAAAAATTAAGATAAACGCATCTGATGAATCTTAATAACAAAGCTATACTTGTATTCTAATTTTTTTTATTAAGAGTAGCCTGAAGTTTAAATTTAAATTATGATTACAGCTTTTCTTTTATAAGTTGAAGAACATTATTTTGGTCCATTGAGCAAACTCATTCTTATTCATTGCCTTTTACAGTTGACATTTAACTTTCACAGCTTTACAGTTGGCAAGAAGCAAAAGAATATTTAATATTCAAGAGAGCACATTTTAAAACCCTACAGCATTCTATTGTATGGAACATTCTATAATTAGTGTACATTAACTCAAAGAATTACATATGGAATTAGCTGAGGACAGTTGAAGGTACTCATGTATTTATTTCCTTAATACTACTCATGAGTCAAATAAAACAAACAAGTAATTCTTGCAGTCCAAACTAATAAGGACTAATTTTCTAAGATTATGTTTTCTAATTCATTTACCAGAATAGAATTGAGAACAACTTTTGGTTCTACAGTCCTTAAAGCCCTAAAGCAAATAAGATAGGAATTAGTGATATCCCTTTCCATTATAATTTGCGGTTCAACATCAAAATAATTAACTTATTCATTCAAGAAATAACTGTCGCACAGCTGCTATAGGTCAAGCTTTCTGATAGGCACTGGGAATAGAGCTGCAACAGCCCTGCCCCTCAGAGCATTAGGATTAGCAAGAAAAACAAACATGAATGAAAGTAATAGCAACCAAGATAAACAGTGTGAAGACAAAAGAAGCTCACAGTGCCAGGGACACCCACAGGGACCTACCACATCATCCCTGGGGACTGGGGTGGCAGGAGGAAGGGAAGGTCCCGTCCCCTGGAGGAGGTCACTTCAGATGACACTTGATGACTTCACAATTAAGATTAAGTGTATATATTGCATCTTGTTTCTTCAAAAAGCTCCACTAAAACCACACTAAAGAGACTTAAAAATAAATAATAAACCCCTAAGAATAAGGAGAACAGGAAAAGGAACAAGAGAAACAAATTTTGGAAGCTTGAGAGAAGATGGGCAAGCAGTCTCTGATGCAGCAGAAGGTTGAATAAATCCTAAATCAGCAACGGAGGACTGAGGGAGAGCTGTTGGAAAGGCAGATAGCCATCCAGGCTCCTTCACCACTCCCCACTGCTAGGTAATGCCCCTCCCCTGCTCTAGCAGGAAGCAAGAAATTCATTCACTGGAAAGGGTAAAAGAGAATGTCACTCATAAACAACACTGCTCAGTGGCCATACACAATAAAGGTTTAATATTGATGTCCCAGCCAATTGCCCTGCTTGCTCCAAAAACACAGGTGCCAGCCCTTCATCCTTCAGATAGCCAGTTATGGGAGCTTCCTACTGGGACCCTGACCAGCCCCAAAATACGTGACACCAGGGTTTCTGGGCGGGGGTGGGGGAAGGACCCATCTAGATCCCTCCACTGAAACTCCAAGCCAGCAGACCTCATTCACAGACTCTGAGCCTCATCTCTTAATCATGAGCAGAAAACCAAGGCACTGATTACCAGACATCTGAGGAAAACTTCCAGCATGGAAGATGGGTACCATACAAACAAATAAAAAACAAACAGAAACAAAAGAAATCTTGGAGGAAACAGACTATGCATGGAGAAAAACATTTAAGGAAAACACTATCATTAACATCCTCAGATAAGAGAAGACATTGCAATTATGAAGCCAAAAAAAGGGACCCTATTAAAACAGAGGGATTCTAACAAAAAGAGAATCTAGTAGTAGGGGTGAAGAAGAGCTAGTAAGTAGATAGTAAAGACAAAAATAAAATAGAAAGACAAGAAAATTAGAGGACCAGGCCAACTAACTTGACATCCGAATAAAGGATTTTCCAAGAAGAAATAACAGAGAAAATGGAAGGTATAAATAGTCAATTAAATAAATTCAGAATATTTCCCTGAACTGATAGATATGAGTTTCTAAACTGGGAGTGTCACCAAGTATGCAAGGCCCAGATACTTGCATAGCACTTACCATATATGCATCAATTACTGTTCTGTCTTACAGATACTTGCTTAATCCTCACAATAACCCTATAACATGGGTGCCTTTCTAATTATCATCCCTATTTTATAGATGAGAAAACTGAGGTATAAAATGGCTAAGCAACCTGCCCAAGATCCTACAGCTAGTAAGTGGCAGGGCCAGGATTTGAAGGCAGGACTGGAGCCATGGAGCCCACTACACAGTACTACCATGCAGGACAGACCACCATTATGAAATTTCAGAATATAGGCAGTTCTATTTCATTTTTTTAAAACCAGGGATATGTACTAATTAGATAGTGCATGTGGAGCCCTGCCCTTGACCAAGAACCTGAGGGGAAGTGCATGCAGATTTCTATTCCTACCCCCACGCACGACTTCATTCTCCCAATACTCTAACCTACAAATTCCAGTCACAACAGAAGCTCTAAACTCCTATTCCTATACCTCCCAGCTCAACAAGAATGCTTTATGCACTTGGGCTCACCTCCTTGCTCCACAGTCAGGAAGAGTGTCCTCAGTAAGGCAGGGGGCACATGATGCTGCCTTCTCATCCCCAGGAATACAGAGCCATAGCAGTTGCTATCTAACACTTGAAAACAGTTGCCTTATGTATATTGCCTAGTTCTATAGTTATTCGTGGTGGGAAAGTAAGTCTGAAACCAGTCCTTGTAGGTCTGAAGATTTCTTTATTAACCCTTATTTAAATAATTCTAGGTTCAAAATACTTTTCCTTCAACACTTACTTTAATGTTATGCTTTTGCATCCAAGGCTGCTGTTGGAAAGTTCATGTTAACCTGACTTTCATTATTTTGGCTTATGTGTACAACTGTCTCCTTTATTTCCCTAAGTAATAAAGATTCAAGTTCCTTTTCCATGTGTTCTATCAGATCTGCTTCCTCTGGAACAGGTTGCCTATAGCTTGTCTTTCTTCATGATGCTTTTATTCTTAGAAGTGTCATGATTTTTTTTAACTGGGACTTTATCTGATTGTTCCTGAGACTATCAGTTGCCTGTCTTTGATGACAGCATAGGTGGTTCATTGAAAAGGGAGGCTCAGCTGGTGCTTTCACTGTGAGTGTGGGAGAGATGTGTTGAGTGCCTCTACTGCAGGTCTCTGTGCTTAACTGCACTCATTTTCCCTGGCATTCCTTTGCCCTAAGATGCACTGCCCAGTTCCCCTACATCCAAGACTGCTTTCTTTAATTGGAGCTGGGGGAGACAACCCAGGGTGATTCTACTGGCTATTCTGTGGCTGGCATGATAGATCTCTGTGCTGACTTCAGAGCTTCGGGAGGTAGGCTCTTCACATCAAAACCTATACAAACTATGCCTGGGTGTCTCATTTCCTGCCCTGGACTGAAAACAGCAATCAAAGTCAATGCAGAAAAATCCACTATAAGCTGATAATCCAAGTTTGCAAACACAATAAACAAGACTCCTTCAGCTCCTAGGTAACCCTGGTCCTCTGAGACTGCAGTTCCCACCGGCAATGGCTCAGCACTCCATCTGGAGATTTTAACCCTTGCCTTATCGCTTCTCCCTTCCTCCAAACCGCCAGCCCTCTCCTGCTCTAGTCTATCATTTTCTGTAGTTTCTCAGAGTTTTGATACAGTTGTCAAAGACTTTCTCTAGTTCACTCTGCTTCTCATATCTTTGCTGGAATTTGCAGATTTTTGTGTTTTTAGCTCATCGCCTTGATTGACAGCCAGAAGCCTATCTTCCAGAAAGCTCCTTGTATGGGTCCTCCCAGCAGACCTTCCAGTCCACTTGGAGATGATATGTCGGGCTGTGTAGGACAGAGGACAGGCCAGCCATGCTGGAGCCACAGGGTTAGAACCCACACAGTTGGAACACCAGGCCAGAGTTAACAAGTGACCGAAATGGGGTGGGCATTATCATTTAGGGCAATCCCCACATACCAGGCAACTGCAAAATAGTTCTAATGCCGGACAGTTCTCAAAGGAAGAAAAGACATCCAAATTGCTGGCAATGATGGCATGCACTCATATCTTCATAATGTACAACCCAATACTTAGAATTTTGTAATGCTTGTAAGTCTCTATATTTCCATATCACTTATGTATCCATCATTACAGAAATCATTAAAGTTTGTCTCCTTTAGAAAGATAAGTGGAAAAGAAATTTATTTTCTGTAGTAACAAGTCATGCTGGTCCCAGTAAAAATTAGTCTCTTGCTCTATAGTCAATTCTCATTATTCACAGTAATGATCTATAAAATAACTGGTAACACT